CCCCAAAACCCCAAAACCCCAAAACCCCTCAATGTTGAATTGATTTTGAATAAAAGTGATTATGAAATTATGAAGATAGTAGGGGAAATTTAATTCCTATATAGTAGATTAATCTGAGAAAATCAAAGCATTGGATATTGGATTATCAAGGTCAATGGGATAAATCAAATTTTACTTGTTAGTTTGAATTGCTTTGCTGATGGTGATGGACAAGAACATGCTGAAATTCTTAATGCAATTAGGCTTATCTTCTTTTCTATCGGACTCTGTCCATTAAATTACTAGTCTTAATTCCATCTTTAGTTGTCTAGAGATAGGTATTCCTGCTCTAAGACAGGTGAAATTTCTTGATTTCATTATTGATTCCGTGCAGTTTCTTATTCAAATTGCATATCTTATCATCCAGTGAGAAATTTAGTAGCTTGTTGAATTTCATTGTATGCTCACGTCTCTCTGGGGACATGTGCTTCATCTCATATTCTAGTATCGCCTCACTTATAGTCATGTGGTGTTTCTGTTATTGCTTTTGATTATATTTCTGATTTTGATGAGAGTTGTTGTGGTTAGAGTTAGCATTTAAAGAAGCTATAGAATTTACAGTGGGATTATTATTTTGAGACTATTGCAGATGATTGGTTTAAATGATTGTCCTCCTATTGGAATCTGAATTATTAAATTGAACAGGATTATATTAATTTCTCTAAGTCATGATGTTGTTTCTCTTGCCAATAATGCCATCATTCTTTATTATTGGACTTTGCTGCGATTTAGTTTGTGCATCTCCTGCTTTTGAAGTATTAGAAATGTCTAAAGACATCGATATATCCTTTGCCAACCTTTTTTTATCAACCATTTCGCTTCTTTTTGGATTTTAGGAGGTAAAGGCTAATCTCTGAGTTGTTGGAAATTATTTCTGATTATTACTATCCGATGTAATCATCGTATTCAAATTCTCAATGTCATTGCCATTATTGCTGTGCTTATTAGTTTCATCCTATTCTTCCTAGATAGTGTACTTTCTCCTTGCATTTGAAGCAGTGGTTAAAGCTTTAATGTCTGGTTGAATATTTCTGGAAATATACTCTGTTATCACATTTACATCATCCTTGAAGTAATCTTATCTGAGTTTATCTTGGATTGTTGTATCTTTGACAAAACTTTTGTAAAGTCTTGGGCCTCTTCTAACATTCTTGAACTGCTCCTTAATCTTGATGTAATCCAATCTCTCCTTTATTTTCCTCGCGGGACTCTAGGACATGCTTGTTATATTAGGCAAGCGAGAAGAGTAAAAGCTCTTCATTCGAAATAAGTCAGGTATTTGCCTCTTCAAAGAGTGATTTTTGCTCATTGCTTTCTGTTCATTGTTGAATGAGAAAGTTTAATCTTGATGATTAGCATCAGGCTGATTGTAACTCACAGCAATGATGTTATCGTCCAGATGTTGAATAGGTTTGGAGTGAGTGGGCACATAATTCAGATTGATTGACTGTCTGAATTCCTTGAAGTACTTCTCCATCTGCCTCTTGTTCTCTTTCACTATGTCTTAGTTGAATATAGTGATTTGCAAGTCAAAGGACTTATTTTGAAGGTTGAGGTTTTTTTACTTTTTAAAAAGATCACCTGCTTCTCCATTGCCTTGCTCAAAGGATAATCGCTGCTGATTTGAAAATCTCAAGTTAGAAGTCTACTAGAACTAGTCTAATGCTTCCTTGAACATTGTTTCATATTTATTGAAAATTAGAGGCGGACTGGCTTTGTTGGGGAAAGGGTCATAGTCTTGGTGGTAGGATGTAGAGGAGTCATTCGCTATTGAAGTATTGTAAATTACTCGTGACATAGTACAAGAATAAAAATATATTGATTCTGATATATTGATATGAGACAAGATTTATTCATTCTGAAATTTTATTTCTTTCAATATTTTTCAATAATTTTCATGGTGGGGTTTTGGGGTTTTGGGGTTTTGGGG